CTCTCTATCCATCTCCTCCTCCCTGGGCCCATCTCCTAGCTAGCTAGGACTCCGATCAATGTAGCACCTGGGTCTGCCAGGCAGGGACACTGGGCGTGGGGACCCTGATGTGTCACAGTGTAACTCCACAGACCGTGGGGTTCCCGGAGATCTACTAGCACGGCCCCATAGTGCATCATGGGAGACAGTGCCTAGAGCACTGGGCTGCACGTCAGCAGACCGAGGGGCTGTTCTCAGCTCTGCCACTGGTGTCACGGGCAGCCTTGGGCAAGTCACTTTCTCCCACTATGACACAGTTTGGTCATCTGTAAAGTGGGGATAATGCGGCTGAGCCTCTTGAGGACGTGCTGTGAGACCTGGGGAGGCTATGGATCAGCACGGGGTTATTCTAGCCACACAGCAGGTCGAGTGCGCCAGGTCTCTCCTATGCCGGAGTCTGTGGGTGTTAAAAAAGGCACAAAATCTGGTTCTACACAGGCCCACTTTCTGCCCCATCTCCGCCAGAGCGCAGGTGTCGGAGTGCGCAGACAGCCACACGGGGGCTAGGGAACCGTTCCCGGCCGAGCCTCCGGCATCTCCTCCTCCTGGGCAAACCCGCCAAGCTGGGCGGTCCCTGGTCTCTGCAACACGCCTGAGATCCTGCCCCCCGCCCGGCCGCCTGCCCGCCCCCTTCCATTCACAGGTTACACAGGATCCTCACCTCGCCTGACTAGTCCTGGCCGCCGGCCCCAGGGTCTCCATGGAGTTGGGATCACCTGTCGCAGCCCAGGCGCCGCTGCAGAGACAAGACAGAGGAGAGGCGGTGTGCCTGGGGACACCGAGGAGCCCTTTGCAAACCGATGGGTGTGGCCTGGAGAGGCATTTTCACGCGCCCCCTCGTGCAGCGGGGACGGGAGAGGGTGGGCCGGGCCTCGATCCCTTGCAGTGCAAAACTCCTGAATTCACCCCCGTCCGCCCAGGAGAGCACGCGGCATCCTCGCAAGGGGACGGCAAGCTCATGCCCTGGGATTCGGGGAGAGGAGAGGAGTTCAGTCCCGGGGAAACCCCCTCCAGCAGCTGGCTCCTGGGATTCCCCGGCCACTTCCCTGCCATCCCCGCCTCCCTGGGGGCTTGCACCGTCCCGCCGTGGCGCCCCCAGTGGCGGGAGAGGGGATTGCAGGCACCTTCCTGCATGTTGGGGGCCTCTTTGTGCCAATCAGTGGGGACAAAAGGGGTGGGGCAACACCTTCTCCTGGCCCTACTCGTGTTGGGGTTGAGAGATCAGCATTGGGGCTGCCCTGCGCTCTTCTCCCTGCAAGCAGCCGTCCGACAAACGGCAGGCCCAATGGCACATGAGTATATTGGGGGGGGGCGCGCGTGCGTGTGTGTGTGTGTGTGTGTGCGTATGTGTGTGTGTGTGTGTGTGCGTGCGTATTTGTGTGTGTGCGCGTATGTGTGTGTGCATGTGTGTGTGTGTCTGTGCGTATCTCGCTGCTCTCTGGGGACCCCCCCAACACAGTCTGGCCCCTGAGGCAGCTGCCTCAGTTCACCTCATGGTAAGGCCAGCCCCGGTCACAACCAACTCGGTAATGTGCGTGTGTGACAGTGTGTGTGTTTGTGTCTCTGTGCATCAGTGTGTACGTGTGGGTGCATGGACGTCAGTGTATCTGTGCACCTGCGTGTGTAGTGTGCGCGTATGTGTGTGTGCATGTGTGTGTGTGCGTATGTGCGTGTGTGTGTGTGTGTGTATTTGTGTGTGTGCGCGTATGTGTGCGTGTCCCCCACCCCAGCAGACAGCCTGGCCAAATGCAACAGCTTCTTGCTGATAAATTCTAAGAGCACAAAAACAACCCACCCCCCAAAGCCTCTGACAACTGCTGCGCCTTTGAATTGCAACGCGGCTGCCTCAGGGAATCAAGGGACTCCAGGCCCAATCTGCGGGTTGCTTTGGGTTTTGGTTCTGAACCCCGGGCGGCTTTCCCCGCGGATAGACGGGCTGGGTTTGCAGCCAGATGTTCCATAATTAGAAAGCGACTCCTGGTCGTCCGAGAGCTGATGGGTTTTGCTTTTAATCCCGCTGCGCCTTTGAATTGCAACGCGGCTGCCTCAGGGAATCAAGGGACTCCAGGCCCAATCTGCGGGTTGCTTTGGGTTTTGGTTCTGAACCCCGGGCGGCTTTCCCCGCGGATAGACGGGCTGGGTTTGCAGCCAGATGTTCCATAATTAGAAAGCGACTCCTGGTCGTCCGAGAGCTGATGGGTTTTGCTTTTAATCCCAGCGCTGCAACAGATGTGGCGCCTCTTCACTCGGGCTCTCCATCGGGGGGGGGGGGGCGGGGTCCACACCCGCACGACC